CCCTTTTCCAGGGTTAAAAAGTCATCTTATACGCTGGAAAATACGGTATATGCATGTCTTCCATATTTATAATCAAGTTGTATTAATCCTTAATTAGCATTTGATGTTCTTTCCAATTCCCCTGTAGCTTAGTCTTTTCACGTTCCTCTTTGCCTTTCCCTTTTCCTATATTTTGATAGTACCAGATCTTTGATATCTTCTGTTGCCTTTAGGAAGATGCATGTTCAGCATTGCCTAGTTTTATTATCTTGAGGCTGAAACATTATGAGAAAGCAAAACTTGGAGTGGGATAAAGAGAGTCTGCTTTAAAAAATAATAATCCCTTTTTGCTTTATGAAACAATGACCATTATAAAAACAGCAAAGCATCTAGTGTCTCCTAACTTTTGTTGGCTTTGCTGTAATGGACTAGCATGACTTATTATGCTGGTGTCCATTGTGTTTGATTTTTAAAAGTCAGTTTGTTTAGTGGCTGTTTTCCTCCTTCAGGCCATGAACCGTTCTCTTGCTAATGTGATCCTTGGTGGATATGGGACTACTTCAACAGCTGGTGGAAAGCCAATGGAAATTACTGGCACTCATACTGAAGTGAACGTGGACAGTGCTGTTGACATTATAAAGGAAGCCAATAACATCATCATCACTCCAGGTGAAAATGGGCTGCTTTTGTTTTATGAATAATGGCTGGCATTCTGTATTGCAGTTATGGATCCATAACCTGGAGTTACAGATCTGTAAGTGCTCCTTATTCACTCTTTATTAGTGTGAAACTACATAAATGCCCCCCCCATCCAACTTAACAGCCAGCAGCATCACCTGGTGAAGGAGGTGTTCAGCTGCTGAATAGGGGTGCAAGAAAGATGTTTCGAGCTGTTTTCCACCAGCCAGTGGGGCTGCAACCATCAGATGTGGGGCTCTGTCACAATTTGTCATGGCAAGTAAACAGACCTTCATCTAATGTGGCTGCTGGTTGTTATAGTGGGCTGAGGGGCAGCCCTGGAGACATTACTTAGCTCCATATATGTAACTTACTAGCCAATGTAGAATACTGGCAATAGGAAATAAAGGTTAATAGTATTTGTATAGATAAAGGTTGATTATCTCTTGTCAGAAATGCTTGGGACCAAATGCTTGGATTTTTTATTTTTTTGAATACTGTATTTACATCTGCATATCTTGGAGATTGGACTTAAGTCTAAACACTTTGTTGATACAAAACGTTTAAAACCAAAGGCAGTTTAGTGAAATACATTTGTTGAGGTTAGGGGCAAAGGACCAATGTGAAAGAGGAAGAAGTGCAAATAAAAACAACAACACTTTTTTAAACCTGAGAGATCACCTCTTTAGAAGTCTCTAGGTCCTCTAGTGCAACTCTGTGATCAACATCCACCGAAAGTTGACCATAGACTTGTGCTGCAGGACCTATCAATGCCTAGAGAAGTGTTTTCTCTAGGAATCACTAGGTCCTCCACAACAATTTCATGGCCAGAGTCTGGCACAGTCACGCTGGAGGCCCAGAGATGCTTAGAGAGGACATATGCTCAAATCCTTGAATAATCAAATCTGAAAAAGTTAAAGCCATAAATGTGGAGGGCTGACTATAGATGAAAATGAATGATGAACAGTAGTATTAGGATAGTAACAAGGAAATTGTAGCACTTGGGCATGAAGATTTGTTATTGCACACTTCTTGCTCCCACTCTCACTCTAGTCCACTGTGTACCTTGGGCTCAGAAAACAACTTGGCTTAGAAGCAGAGCACAAAACAGAGGGAAGTCAACAAAATATCTTTTTTCAGAAAACTAACTGGCAATGTTTGGAGCAAACACACACAGGCCTCAGGCAAAGCATATATGACCCTGGAACAACACATACAGAAAAAACAACAACATTGTGTCTTCCTTGCTCCCTGCCAGCTCACCAAGATCTTAGGATGCTTCTTCCGTTTCTAGGGATTGAAGGTGTTCCCTTTAATCCCTAGATTCAAGAATGATCACCTCCTCCTCCCAATCTGACATTTGTTCTGGGCCTCTGAGCCTTCTTCAGAGTAAAGAGTACTGAAATTGTGCACCATTTTTATCTCCTAAGCACTCCTCTGAGGCTCCCATGACACCAGAGGCTTTCTTAGCAACAAAGAACTGGAGGCGGGGCATCTTTGCAGCATGCCATGCTCCTGGAGTTTTTTTTTTTTAATTAAAATAATTTTTAATAAAGTAGAAATCTGGAACTGGTAGCCCGAAATATAGAATCATAGAGTTGGAAGACACCACGAGGGCCACCCAGTCCAACCCCCTGCTATGCAGGAACTCAAAATCAAAGCAGCCCCAACAGAATTTGTGGGCACATTGATACCTGTAGATACTGTGCTGATGATCTCAGTATTCGTTTGTTGCTGTGCGCCTTCAAGCCATGGAGTTTTCTTGGCAAGATTTGTTCAGAGGAGGTTTGCTTTCATCTTCTCCGAAGCTGAGAGATTGTGACTTGCCTAAGGTCACCCAGTGGGTTTCAATGGCTGAACAGGGATTTGAACTCTGGTCTTCAGAGTTATAGACCAATGCTCAAACCACTGTACCACCCTGGCTTCTCAATCCCAGTATTACAGACGTCAAAAATGAGCTAGGTAATTTCCCAAGAATGTTTCTGCTGTTCACAATGATAAGAACTCTCAAATTTTCAACATCCTTTGAGGTCACTTTAATACTCCCATGCTGCAGATGAAGGTAGAGATTTATGGAAATAGTGGCTTACCCAGTAATATCTAGTCAGTGTAGTATAGCAGTCTGCAACCTTAGCTATTATCTTACAAGTAGCTTACATGCTTTTTTACTTTTACTGATGGAAGGTTGCATTCAGTGTGTTCCTGTTTATTTTTGGCTCAGTTTGAGTTAACAAACCTAACACCTTGGACTTTCTCTTATACTTGCACTGCTACTTGCTGCTGCCACATGTTTCTCTGTGATATCTATTTCTTCACCATGAAAATATGTATACGCTAAAAAGGAGGAGAAATTGTGGCAGGAGTCAATCTGTTTTTCAAAGGAGAGAGAGAGAGATTGTGATAGAACGAGTCGACACACTCATATCTCAACAGAAAAGAGGAAAAAGCAAGGCAAAGTGAAATGTAAAGAGTAATGTGTGATGAGCAGATTTGGTGAAAGAGCAAGAGCAAAGGGGAAGCACTGAAAGAGGGAGGGAAGCTGAACAGATTAACAACAAATGTTGAACTCCCTGCCACTGGAAGGCTTGCTTCCCTGGAAGCCTTGCATTACTGACACCACTTGCGGGTACTGTGTGTTCCTGCCACCAGATTCATTGGCCACAGCAACAATTGCTCATATGTTTACAAATTTCCTCTCTGGAAAGTATGAAGGCTACACATTTCTTCCTACAAACTAGAATACTGTGCTACTGCAGGGTGGTGCCTTCTGTCAGTTGTTTTTATTTGTGCAACATAGATGGATGGGTAGAACTTCTACAGGTCTAGCCACATGCTAAAATTTGCAGAGTATTTTCAAAGCGAAGAAAGTCACAGGACATATGGGTACTTTGCTGGGAAATGCCCAATTAACATTACATACAGAGCTGTGAAAAAAACTTTCTTGCTTTTGGGCTGCAGCTTCTAGATTTCTACAACCAGCTACTTGGGATGGCCATACCAGGCTAGGGATTCTTTGAGATGAGGTTCAAAATAATTTCCAGGCTTCAGTTTATATACCCAGTGCAACTTTCTTACCTTTCTGACAGAATGGGGTTGTTGCTTTAGACAGCAGAATGTGGGTTTTTGTAAAAGGGCATTAAATTTTTAGTTATTTACTTTGTTGTTCTTGTTGTGCTTATACTGCCCACAATAGAGAGGGATGGTTGTGGGATATTCACCCTAAAGGACCAAAATAGGTTAATTGTGTGTGTGTGTGTGTGTTGGGGGGGAGGGGGAAGGGGTTGCTGTTGGTGTTCTTGGACTGATCCAAGAAAGAACAGCTCTGCATTTCTATCCTTCTATCCTGAAGCATAGATTTTTATGGCTAAATACAATTATGTGTCAGCTCAGACAAGTTTATGTCCTGGTTAGCAGGTAGTCCTCCTGATTGATGTGTTTTATAGAAAATTTTCAGTCATAAACATTTCCATTATCCTAAATCAGTTGAAATATGCTTGAGAATGTTTGTTTCACTTATCTTTAGTAAACCTTAGCTATATTTTACATGCAGAATAAATATCTAAGAAATTTTTTTTCTCCTGGCCAATTGATAAAGCAATCCTATTTTATTTAGCAAGATTTGTCCAGAGCAGGTTTGTCTTTGCCTTCCTCTAAGGCTGAGAAAAATGTGACTTGCCTAGTGGATTTCCATGGCTGACAAAGGAATTGAACTCTGGTCTCCAGAGTTCTAGTCCAGCTAGATTGCAAGTGGGACCAATAAAGCACACTTAGTACTTTTCAAATATTTAAACAAATTCAAAGCTTTATTACTTCACCATTTTTGAAATGGAATATGTCTAAATATTTTAAGACACAACCATGCAAAACAATATTTTTTTTTGATTTAGATTTTAAGTGGGCAAAGCAGGAGAATCAAGATGCTGGAAACTTTTATACTCATTTAGAGTGCCTCAAGAGCTGTGTGCATGTATTCATGTGCTTCCAAAGCATAGTCTCCTGAAAAAAAGTTAATTCCAGCTGTGCCTATTCTATTCTATGTGCAGTTGCTCAATCTGATTAGTGTTATATGTATATACATTATATCGGCAATTAGTTTTATGAATCTGTGGATTTCTAAACAAACAGAAAAAGTTATAGTTGAAAAATACAGCAGTGGTGAATTTTTCATCCCCTATCCTTGGTCCATCTGCATATGCACACTCTTCAAATTTGTGAAATTTCTTGGTTCCTCATACCATTCTAGTGGTTTAAATTCTTGTGGTTTAACGTTCTGCATCTTGGAAAGCTAAATCTAACAAGCATATTGATTTGAGTGTCTTCCCCTTTTTTCTCCCATTCTATCCAACTGGGAATGATGATGATGATGATGATGATTGCATCCCACCCTGGGATCTGAGAGTGGCATAAAAAAATCAACTTAAGCTATTTAAAACATTTAAAAAAACTTAAGCCATTTAAAACAATTTATACTTTAAAACAATAAAAGTAATTTAAATGCTGAAATCATATTGAAGAGTATAACAGATTAAGACAGGTTTAAAAAGGTAAAACAGTTAAAACCATGTGAATGTACATTGTGGTTGAAATCATTTATATCCCAAATGCCTTAATACAAAGCAGTGCTTTTGCTTGGTCCCAGGAAAAGCAAGTGAGGACATTATTGGGCCTTCCATGGGAAGGCATTCCACATCTAAGGTGCACAGCCAAGGAGGCCCTCTCCTATTTTATCCCACAGTGTATTGCTCTTCTTGGTGGGACACAGAGGAGGGCCTCCCACCAGATTTGAATCCATACACACACACACAGATACACACACACACAGTTGGCCTTCCGTTTTCATGGGGAATCTGTTCCGGCACCTCCCCTCGCAAAAACAGAGACTCGCCAATATTCAAGCCCGATAGGCTTGAATGGGGCGCACCCCCACAAGTGTATGCCCCATTGATTTTAACTGTGGTTACCCCTCAGTGAATATTCAAAACCGCGGACCTGAAGTCCGCAGGAATGGAGGGGCGACTGTATGTGTATATTACCTATATCTATATCTCTCTATCTATATAGAGAGGCACTCCCTCAGGTGTCTAGGTTTCATGCCATTGAGGGCTTTGTATGCCATCACAAGCTCCTTGCAGTAAGACAAGAAGTATAGTGATAGTTATTGTGATTGCTTTTGTCTGTATTGTACTCTGGTCAGCAATCTAGCTACCGTGTTTTGCTCTAGCTGTAGCTTATGAGTCATCTTCGTGGGCATTGTCATGTAGAGCACATTACAGTAGTCCAGATCCGGAGGTTACCAGAGGATGAACCTAGACAGGTTCTCTTTGTCTAGGACAACTTGTAGTTGGTGGACCAGTCAAAGCTCACCCCAGTCACTCCAAACCATAGACTCCATAAGAACCTCCAATAATAAAAAATAGATCCAAGAGTATTCCAATCTATAACTAAAACCACTGCTTTTATTTCTGGTACTATTTTTTTTTTCTCCATAGGTTATGGGCTGTGTGCAGCAAAGGCTCAGTACCCAATTGCTGATTTGGTGAAAATGCTGCGTGAACAAGGCAAGAATGTCAGGTAAGTGGGGAAAAAGAAGAGGAAAATGATGCATGCTTTCATCATATGGTCATCATTTGATTTGTGACTTGTTATTTTGGGAGGAAAATCCCTCTCCCTCAGTATCTGTAAGCAAGATTTTACAGCAGGGGTTGAGACCATGTTGGCTGGGCTGATGCTATTGGACTGCAAATCCTAGGAGTTCTAGCCAGCAGAGCCAGTGGTGAGGAATGCTTGGAGCTGCAATCCAACAATAACTAGAGGGCCTCATGGTTCCCATCCTGTACTACAGCTTGAATCTCGCTGAATCTCCCAGTCAGCTTGGGCTTGGGAAGCTGTTGTTCAAGAAGGAACTTTTTCAAGTTCTGAAAACAAAACAAAATAAAACTTTAAAGAGCTTTTGAGGTACACCATCCTTTTTTAAAGGGACCTTCCTATGCAAGGTTTGCCATCAGTTCTCAGAAAGCCAATAAAGATGATAGGCAATACTATCACAAAATTATCACACTCTCTCTGTTCAAATGATCATGTTACTGTTTTTGTGTGCCTTCAAATTGTTTCTGATTTTTGGCAACCCTAAAGTGAACCTATTATGGGGTTTTCTTAGCAAGATAGGGGTTTTACTTTTGCCTTCCTCTGAGGTTCATAGCATTGGACATTTTTATGATAATTGCCTATCTTGTACAGCTACTTCCTCTTGTACTTGCCTCTTTCTTCATAACCTTCAGGTTCAGAGTTGCAATTTCTGTGCATACTTTTGCATGGTTGGCAGGGTATTTGCTGACTACTTTTAAAAAAATGCAAGTGAATGTGAAAAGTTATTTCAAACATCAGAATAATTTATTTCTCATTTAACTTTCTATAGCTTGAAATTGCGTTGTATCTTCCAGAAATTAAAATAACTTTAACGGCTACCAGAAATATGAATGCTACTGTAGTAGCAATTCACACACAATTCTAGCAGATAATTCCTAATGGGGGGTATTATAAAGTTTTAATTATCACCTTTAATTTTTTTTGACAGAAAGTTTGTTTTGATTTGTAGTTGTTAACTTATCTCTAAGTAGTCACCATCCAGATTTACACATTTTCCCCAGCGTTTCTTGACCCTCCAAATATTGTTATTGTAGAAGTCTGCAGACTGAACCTTATATCATTCTTCCACTTCATGGATGATGTAATCTGTGTTGTCAAATCGGTGACTCCTCAACGGATTTTTCATTTTTGAAAAGAGAAAAAGTCACTTGTAATGATGACACTGACAAAATTTCATCATTATAATAATAATTTTGGATAATAATTATTACTTTGCAATATCCCTTTGTACTTCTCTGTCTAACACTTTAGTCACTTCTGGCACAACCTGTAACAAA